CGGATGTCTTCTCGGTCGGACCCTTTAGGTCGTCGCAGGGACGGTTGGACCGGTCCGGGAGTTGTGGTCTTGAGTGAGGGGGGAACCGTTTGGGTTGCGGTCAGGGCCCGTCTTTGGAAATGTAGTGCGGAACAAGTCCGTTTGGCGAGCCCGGAGGAGGAATATGGGCTGCAGTTGGCTCGCGAACCCCAGTGGCAGGAGTTACTCCAAGCAGCTCGCACCCGCAGAGTGTCCGCGGTGGATGTCCAACGAGAGGGGCCGCCTCCCGATGAAGCTTGGGATGAGCCATCCCAGGCCCAGACGGACCCGGGACCACGCGTTCCAGGAGTGGGGATCGAGCCGAGGAGGGAGGATCCGGAGAGCTCTCGACCCGCTCCTTCCGTCGTGGGCCCGCCCATACTGGGCCGTGGAGTCCATTCTCGAGCCGGGTCGACCATTGCGCAGCCTCCCTCCCGGCTGGCTTCCATTCCTGAGTCAGAGGAGCGTTCGGAACCTCCCACCGAGCTTCCCTCTCCCCGGGGGGACTCCCAGGGCGAGGTGGACCTACCGAGACAGGGGTCGTCCGGAACGTCCCGATCCGCTCCTCTGTCAACGCCCTCGCCTCCTCCTGTTCGCTCCCCTTCTCTCTCTCCCCTCCCGTCTCCTCCCCCTCCTTCTCCCTCGGCTCCGTCTCCCATCGGTCCTCCCGTCCACCCTCGGAGGGGCAGGCTGGAGCAGCCTGCCGACGTTCCACACTGCATCAGAATGCAGCGCGCCGGGAGTTGTCCTCCCGAGGTGAAGCGGCAGCGCCTCGAGGAGACTCCACCAAGCGTTACGGAGTCGCCGGCAGACCCCGCACCTCCTTTGTCTACCCCCAATGTCGAACCCCCCCCGGGACTTCCAGGAACCGTGGAGCGGGGACCTGTGGTGGCGGGGACGAGACCCAGGGCCTCCGTGGCCGAGAGAGTCCAGGAAATCGAGGACCGAATCAGGACCAGATCCAGGTCTCCTCAGAGAGTCGAGGGTTTTCAAGAATACTTCTGGGTACGGCCAGAGGGACAGGGAGTGCGAGTGAGGCCACTGAGCCAGGAGGGGGCCGAATGGTCTGGTGCCTGTCTCGAGGATGGGGGTGTGTTTGCCGGCGGGCGGTCCGGGGAAGTCAACATGAAGCGTCTTAGTCCTGAAGAGCGAGAAAAGTTTCGGGCCTCAGACAGCAAGGAAATGGAGAGCATCATGAAGACGGGAGCTGTTGAGGTGATTCCCCCGGAAAAGGCAGCTGTGATTCGTCGAGAGCAGCCAGAGCGTATCATCTCCAGTCGGATGGTCCGCAGGTGGAAGCCGGTGGAAGGCACGTTCACGGAGCCGACGGCGAAATCCAGGTGGTGTGTTCATGGCCATCGGGATCCAGATTCCGGCTCTCTAGCAGTGTATGCGCCCACACCACAGACTTCATCCATCATGATGTTCATGCAGGTTATGCTAAATTTGTCCATGCTAGGTGACATAGCTGACGTGAAGAACGCCTTCTGTCAATCAGATCCCATGTCACGAGCGCAAGGACACATATATGTAGAGCCGTGTGACGGCACCAGCTTACCTTCTGAATCGCTGATTCTACTACTGGTCAATGTGTATGGGCTGGACGATGTTCCCATGGCGTGGCGAAAAACAGTGGTCAAGTATCTAGAGAGTCACGGATTCGTTCGCAATCTTCTGGAACCCTGCTGGTGGTTGCGTTACGGAAAGAATGGCCAGATACTCAATATGATGCTGCTCGAGGTGGATGACTTCTTCATAGGGAGCTCGGACAGCAAGTCTCGAGCCTGGCTGCGACAGACGCTGGAGGCTCGATTCAAGTTCGGCAAGTATCGTGACTGTCATTCCGGCCCAGTGGATTTTGCGGGCCGTCGTGTGACTTTCCTGAGCGACCGAGCTACCGTGGACCAGGAGAAGTATATTCTGGAGGAGATTCGTCCTTTGACATTGGCCCGAGGTCGCCTCTCGGACAAGCATAGTTTGCTGGAAAATGACGAGTTTCGAGCCCTACGATCGTTAGTATACAAATTCAACTGGGTGGGCCGAGAGGCTCGCCCCGAGGCGGCCGGCATCGCCAGCATCCTCGCTAGCCGCCTGAAGGCAGCAACCGTGACCGATGTGGCACTAGCTAACAAGCTCGTCAAGCATCTGAGGGGAACGGCCTCGAGAGGAATCATTCTCTGGAAGCTGGACCCCGACCGCATGGCGTTCGTGTCCTTCTCGGACGCAGGCGGTGTCGGAGCTCCGGAGGAGTTGACAGATGACAAGGGACTGCCAGCTGATCCGACGCAGGGCGCGTGGATGGTGCTGGCTACCGACAGATCACTACTAGACAATCGTTCCGTCAAGGCTTCCATCCTGGGATGGCGGTCCTGCAAGCTCAGGAGGAAGGTTCCCTCCACGTTGGCGGGAGAGACTCAGGCTCTCACAGCAGCGGTCGCCGAGGTAGAGTACCTGCAGGTGCTCTACCGCGATGTGGTGTTTCGCGACGTGGACGTTCCCGACTGCATCCGAGCCGCAGGGCCCTTCACCACGGTCCTTCGGCGAGACTGCCGTCTAGGCTCTAGGGAGCGACAGGTGCACGTCGTGGACGCGAAGTCGATCTACGATACTATGCAGAAAGAGGGCAACGCCAGCGCCAGAGACCGGCGTACGGCTCTCGATCTGGCGATCATCAGTGAATCGCTGGAGCGTGCACAAGGAAGAGTTCGATGGATTCCCCACGGGCGCATGCCCGTCGACTCGCTCACGAAGCATGATATCACCAAGAGTAACGCAGCGTTGTTCGACCTGATGTCGCATGGTCGTTTGTGTCTCATCGACGAGGAGGAGGAGGTGATGAGGAGGAAGGACCAGCCCGAGCTCAAGGACAGGTCTCAGGCAGCTTCCCGTCGGGCATTGGCTATGTTGTCGTGGAAGGAGTTTCTTGTCCAGTCGGTGTCGCTGGAGGAGCCCGGTAATGGTGGTGGTGGTTTCCCGATCTCTCCTCTCTCCCCCTTTTCGACAGCTCCCGCCGACTTGCAGGCATCTGTCTTTCAGTAATCCCCGCTCTGTCTGCCATCGCCGTTTTGGCCTCTTAATGTTCTCCGCTTTCTTTCCTTTTCGTTTGAGCGTCTCGAATCAGGGGTCGAGCACGCTACTGTTCTGGGTGCAGGACAGCGCACTGTGGCTTATCTTAGCCGATATTTAAGGGTGCTAAACCTAGGAGAAATTCTGACCCGTGTGGCAAGGGTCTAGATTTTCACGAATAGGTTTAGCGTGATGTTTCATCCAGGGGATCTTTGACAGCGTGCGCCTGTGTCCGTACCTGTGGCTCAAGGCAAAACATTCGTTTGCTCCTGCTGCTGCCACAGAGGGACCTCACAGAGAGATCTTCGACCGGTCGGCTTAAACGCGAGCTGGCCTCTGCGGAGGGACGGCCTCTGAGAGCTGACCCTGCCGGCAGCATTTTCAGATCAGGCGGCGCTATTCTGCAGGGTCCTCCCCCCCTCCTTCACTCCCCTGCCACCCTTTCATCCCACACTGGCTCGCTCTGCCGCATCTTCGGGCCCGTGTCTGCTCTCGCAGCCAGAGGCCGGGTGCGTCGCAGACAGCCCGCGCGTGCCGCCTCGTCGCGCTCTGAGGCGACGCCCCAGCCGGAGGCCTAGGCACTGAATTGTCTGCACCCGCACCCTTCAAGCTGCACCGTCCCTTCCGCGCTCACGGGCAAAGGGAGGGAGCAGGAGGATGATGAAATGGCTGGGCCGTCTGTGCCCTTCGCTCCCCCCGCAGCCTTATCGATGTCTCCTCGCAGAACGTTCTCAAACAGATCCGCATCCGCCGACCCCACAGGCATCCTTAACCTCTGTTTTCTGGACTGGCCACGCTACATGTTCTCGCCTGGAAGCGCGCCTCCACCTCGTCCGACGTCTCCGCCCCCAGGGACTACTGATCTTGGGCACACCCGACCCTGGACCTCTCGCCCAACACCAGCTCTGACCCCCCGCCGCGCCTCCAACTCCTGCCTGGCATCTCCACTGTTCTTGGGACCCTCCCACCCGTCCTCTCGCTCCAAACCGACCCTGCCCCACCCCCCAAAGCCCTGGAGTCGAACTCTTGAAGGACCTCCATCCGGCGGACAGGGCCGGAGTTTCCTGGCTAAGCCCTGCAGCCCTGGAATCGTGCTGGCGAAGGGCCAAGAACCTACGGGCCGGGCACGGGTTCCCCGACCGCGCCCCCCCCCCCCCCCCCCAAGTCCGGGAGCCGTCCTCTTGGAGGGCCACCACCGTGTGGGTAACGCAGGACGAACTCTTCATTCCATCCTGCAGGAAGGGCCGCACTTGGTCTTCACCACGCCCTGGCACCCCCCCAAGGCTGGAGTTTCCCGACCACGCCCTGGTTCCCCCAAGTTTGGCACTTGTACTCCTCAAGGCCTCCATCCTACGGGCCAGGCCAGAATTTCCCGACCACGCTTCGGCCGCGTCCTGGCGCTCACCAACGACTGGACAAAACCGGAATCTCCAGACCAGGACTGGAGTTTCCCGACCACGCCCTGCCACGCCCCAAGCCTGGAGCCGTACGCTTGAAAGGCGTCCATCCTGCAAGCACGGCCAAAATTTCCCGACCACGCACTCGCACCCCCTGAGCCTTGGAGCCGTGCTTTTGGAGGGCCCTGCCCTGCGGGCAAGGCCAAAATCTCCCGACCGCCGGTTGAAAGCCGTCCGTCCACCTTGCGAGCAAGGATGGAGTTTCCCGACCGCGCCCTGGCGCCTCCCACGCCCAGGAGTCGCACACTTGAAGTCGGCGGCGGCGAAAGGGGACGTGACAAGGAGAAGGCTTCCCCAGAACGCGGCAGGGCTTCTCAGAAGGCATCGCGTCTTCCGAAAAGTGCTGGGTTCTCCGGGGATGCTTCGAAAAATTCTCAAAAGTCTGGTGGACTTCCGAGCCTTCTGAGGAGGCCCTCCAATTTTCATGTCATACCTCGCTCGCCGCCGATGAAGGGCATC